TTCGTGTACTTCGTTGTTGGTTATGTACCATGGTACTTTTGCAACTGCTTTGCTATGCTTTTTCAATTGTAGGTAGCTCTTTATTTCTTAGGTGACTAGGTGGTCACGTAACGTTTTTTTGTGTTGTTATGTTTTCTATATGTTATACCTAATATCTTTTCCTCAGATATTGCGAAAGCAATTGCCTCAGAAAGTGTCGATGGATCTTTACATCTAACTATAGTGGAAAGTCGTGGCTGAAGGTCGGTCATGATAATATTTAATGCGAGATCTTGCATCGCTGCTACGAGTTCGTCTTTCTTTTTCGTATTTATTGAAATATTAATTTCAGCTATTAATTTTGATACACACGATTCTACCTTGAGGGAATATTGGCTGATAGTTTAATTTAAAATAATTAAAACCACACAAATTTGAACGAAAATATGTTTATTATGTAAGAAATTAACCGTTTAGGTAACTAGTAAAGTAATATATAAATCTTGGAGTTAACTAGTGTGAAGGTTGAAATTGCTTTGCATTCGCAAGTTTGACAATATTAGGTTCGGTTTCACTCAACGCGCATCTCATGTCATGCTCAACCGATAAAGTAAATAAATACCTAGTCATTTCTGTGCTCAAGGTTTTTATTAAGCTCCCTTATTTCAACAATTCTCACCTCCTCTGTTTTAAGTTTATCTGTTTCAAGCTTAAATCGGTCAGCTTCGTTTAAGGCCCGCTAATTATCAATTTCTATACGCCGAACTTCGATGGCAGCAAATTCTTCTGGAGCTCGTTAAAATGCAGTAGTACCTAGGCATATTTTAACGATATTTTTGAAAGAATATTTATTGTTGGGAAATCAATTTACTGACCTCCGCGCCGGGGCAACGATTTAAAAGTGGCGCAGGGAGTGTGGGAGTCAGTCCGTATGGTGCAATGAACACCTACCCACCAAAACCCAACAGCCCCAACTGTTCAGTATGGACGGGAGGCGCGGTAACAGTTTCCCTTAGGGCGCTTTTAGTGTCACGCGGATTTGCTCACGCACGCGGGATTGGACCGCATGCGTAAAATTTCACGCTGCGGATCATACGCAGCATGAGTTTCAGTTTTCTACGGGCTGCGTAACGGTACAGACGTGTTCAAAAATGATCAATGTCAGAAGAATATGTGTCGCTTACATACTTTACAAACGACGAAACAAGAAGACAAGAGTACATGTTGATCCCTTTCTTGAAAATAGGCTTCTTGCTGGGGCGTTTGTTACACGCTTTGGAAAACTACAAAATAATGAACGTAAATTTAAAAATTACTTTCGAATGTCCATTCGTTCTTTTGATGAACTGTTGTGTAAAATTGAGAATAAGCTACAAAAAAGCAGTTTACGAAGGATTACAATACAACCGATTGAGAGGCTCGCTATTACATTAAGGTAAGTTTTAAATTTTAAATATTTAATTTCCTGCTATGATTTAGTGGAAAGGGATTTGAACAGGTAGGATAAACGTTTTTTGACTTCAAATTACTGTCATGTGTAAATTTACATGTGCAAAAAAAAAATTTTGTCATGTACTCTGAAATTTCATTGTTCATAATTTCATTCAATTTCATGTTGAAATTTCATTAAATAAGATTATTTCACTCATAAAATGTCGCCATTAAAGTGGAATCATTCCTACCTTTCATCACACGCTACTTATTATAATATAGATAAAAGTTATAGGTTTGCACATGACAGTAATTTAAAGTCAAAAAAAGTCCTTAATTGGTTTGGGATTGGTACGTTCAACCTACATACACAATCCTTTTTTTTATCTGATAAAGTACACATGGCCACAGATCAAGTTACCCAAAACCAGCATAAATGGAACTCGCGCCTTGCGTATTATCATACTTAGGTAACCCGTCGGAGTCCCGCTTATACTGGATTTGAGTAACTTGATCTGTGCCGTGTGTACAACCGCACTCATATGACTAAACAAACAATTAGAGAGAAACTGGAGAAAAAAAGTTAATCGTACTCATTTTAATAAAAAGAGTTTTATTCATAAATTAAAAAATCAAATTTTACATCATTCATTTCTTTGTAAATTTGTATCCTGAGCGTTGACATTACTTTCGCCTGTAGATGATGTTGTTGCTGGGGTATAAATTACGTCATAAGACGTGATATTAAACAGGCCGCTTTCAGTCGAAATAAGAGTTTCATTGTCATTCACTGCAGCAGAACTAATAGCATTGTCGTTAAGACTCGAAGTATCCTGGATTATACTATTGGTTTGGTGACAATTTATCGGTGACAAACTGTCAAGCTCAGTAAAAGCACTAGAACTTGTTGTAGGTATGGGACTGTAGTATGCATAAGAGTATTAACTTATAGACTGCAGTATAAGAGTGATTCGGCCGCCGCACAGTGGATCACTATATTTTAATTATAAGAAATATTATTCTGTAGTGCTCCTCGCAATGTGTGATGCTGATTATAATTTTACATATATTAATGTCGGTACCAGTGGAAGCAACGCCGATTCAACCATCTTTAGAAGGAGTCAATTGTATACGAAACTGGAAAGTAACACGTTGGGTATCCCTGACCCGCAAGAGTTGCCTATTATTTGCCCCGAAGTAGCTTATCCATCTAGTGTAAGAGCAAAGTTGCCGTTCGTGATAGTGGGAGACGAGGCATTTGGTTTATCATCACATGTGATGCGGCCTTATGCTCGTGATAATTTACCTTACAAAAGAAAATATTTAATTACCGTCTGTCCAGAGCTAGAAGGTACATAGAATGCACTTTTGGAATTATGTCAAATAAATTTAGAATATTTCACAGATCCATGAATGTCAAGTTAGATCTAGCACAATTAATAGTCAAGACGGCATGTGTACTTCACAATTTCATAAGGAAACGGGATGGCTACAAGGTCAGCCATACATTTGTCACAAATGGTTTTACGGGACCACTACCCAGGCAGCAGACTGAAAGTAGTAATACGTCGGCAAGTAATATCAGAGATATATTTGCAGATTACTTTATCAATGAAGGAAAAGTCTCCTGGCAACACCGATATATAATTAATTAACTAAACTCAAAAGGTTTTAGAAGGTTTTTGATGTTATTTGTGAATTAAATAATTATGCTTATATTAATAAAGTAATGATGCTTGTATAAATAAAATAATGAACCAAACACATACCCGCCTCTTTTCTTTCCTCTTCGCTCAAATTTTCGTAGTTAGGTGCCAATTCCTTCAAAATATCTCTCCATGCAGCCTCCCTCGCGTCCCTGTTTTTGTATAATTCATTGCGTTTATCCCACAAAACGGGCCGCAGATGAACTTCAATGATTACTCGTTCTGTATCGATTTTCATTTCGGTAGTACAATACGGCGCGTGCGCCCCGCTCGACTCTAAAATGGGCACTGAAGTTGTAGGCAGCGCTTACGCATGCGGATACCCCGCACCGGGGTGACGCCCCGCACAGCGCCCCGCGTCCCGCGTGCGTTTATCACGCTTTACAATAGATACCTATATGAAATTGTTCTTTGCGGATGCTACGCATGCGGTCCAATCCCGCGTGCGTGAGCAAATCCGCGTGACACTAAAAGCGCCCTTAATCCGTGCCTCCGTCATAAGCGTCTGCTGTGTGAGCCCAATTTCTGAGTTGCCCAATTCTGTGCTAAGGTCACAGCGGAGTACGTGCGTAATCGCGTCGTCGTCTTCCAGGACTTTTTTAGCGTTGAGGGTCGGCGTCTGGGTAACACTCCCAAACCCTCTCCGCATTCTCTTCAAGTCTAACGACGGCCTCACAGAACGCTTGGAAAGTGTTTCACGGGCCGTTACTGTCAGCCTCCACCATAGCTTTCACTATGACTGGAAGCGACAGATCCAATCCGAAGGTGGCGGTTAGTAAGCTACGTTCAGAGCTCCACGCCGGACAAACCTCTAAACTACCCGGTAGGGGGATTTTAAAATAATCTTTTTAAAAAAACAAAATGATTTATTTAGAAATAGTGGCGGCGCGGGTTGTTAAAATATAAAACTTTATACCTATTAAACTAATTATTAGAATTGTTTATATTGTGGACTGTATTTTTCTTATTGATATGATTGCTCAATATTGGACAATGGGAAAAAAGAAAGAAAGGATGTCGGCACAGTACCTTCAACCTCGTGGCTTCTTCTCGTGACTAAATTCCTTTATTGTACATCAATGAACAATCACTTTCACAAAATTATAATCTAGTTAAAGTTTAAGAGAATTTAAATATAGTTAAAAGTTTATAATAAAAATTAAATGTTTAAAGAAAGCGGTGCGCGCGTGCGGTGTACAAACGAACCATATCGCGGGTCATCAAAATTGTCACTAATAATTAATCCTTGTTGGAGACTCATCATCGTGCGCGCCACCTATAGCCCGTTCCGGAACTAGTACCTTCATAGGATTGGGACAAAAAATAGGTGGGTGATGAGATATGCGTCTAGGAACTATTAGGATGGGTATATTGAGCAACCATTATTATAAAATAAGAATCCGGCGCAACCAAATAGTAATATAAAAACAGAGGACCTTCATGGACACTGACAAACGACTGACCCTGCTCCCGCTTGGTATGCTTATATGCTTTCCTTTTGATTACTTAGCACATTAGATAGTCAAGAGGTTAGCCATATCTCTTACATGCTATAACAGTACGTACTGGATAACAACATCTTCATCTGACGAACTTTCTGACTCGTCAAAGTGTCTTGCCACGTTAAAATCCATATTAGATTTGAAATATATAACTACAACGAAATAATTTTGCAATATCAGCTGACAGGACTGACTGGCTAAACATCCGCCATATTGTTTAAGCGCTCAGAATCGGTTGGTTAGATATTTCGACCAATGGTTACGAATTTGAATGGTCAATAAAATAAAATAATTATTAATATACTTAATTATTTGCTGCCGCGGTTCTATAGCTAGTAATGATGCAAAATAGGTTTGTATGAGCTGCAGTCTGTACTCTTGTTCATTGGCAGTCTCCGGGAACGATCTGCTTTTCTATCGGAAGGTGAAGTGTGTAATTTCCATCGTCTTTTGGCAGATATTTCCTCTTTTCTAGGCAAATATTATGCAATATTGCAGTGCTAACAATGATATGCTGTACATTTCTTAAAGCCACCCTTAATTGCGAGCCTATGCAGGGAAACCTTTTCCACCCTTCATGCTCTTTCCACCACATTTCTTGTTCGTATTTGGCTTTCATTGTAGAGTCTCTTAGCTGCAGTTTGGGGATCAACAGATATTTTTTTACAGCATATCCGTGGTTTCCCATAGGGATGGTGATTCTTTCCGAAAAACATCGATTTTTAAATCAATTCAAATCGTGACCTAATGAAATCGACGCCAATAAGATCGATTTCTGAAAAATCTATCTTTTTCTCAAGTTTTTGTTTATAATGTAATATAAATCTATTTATAACATAACTGCAAACCCAGCTTTGTTTTTTCGTGTGGCTGTGGGTGGGTCTTAGGCAAAAATACCTGTTAACCTTTATTCCATTCTTCAATAAGGTAAGCCACTTTCAAATATTGTTCAGTAACATACCTTCCGAAGTTCCTGTCACATTGGTTATAAGAGTGCCCTCTTATTGGAAATATTTGTTCAATTTGCATGTTTAAGCTTTTGGCCAACCATGTGTAGAATATTACCACAGTTATACAGGGCGATCCAACTAGTGACGTCAATAATGTTTTTTTAAGGTCATAGCTCATTAGGGCCGCCGTACACGGACTGCTCGAGCAGTTAGCGGCTGAGTGAAATACACGGACCGCTCGAGCGGTCGGCGTCGACTGCTTGAGCTGTCGGTTGTTGACTGCTCGAGCTACGACTCAACTGCTCGAGCAGTTGATTTTCTACCATAGTCGAGTCATGGATTCTGACGAGGAAGCACTGCTTTTGCTGCTCCTGCTCAGGCGGAGACGACGGCGGCGACGTCAAAAGAGAAAATTTTGGGTTCATCCAATTTTGCAATTAAGAGAACAACGTGGACAATTCCATCATTTGTTTATGGAACTTAGAAGTGATGAAGAAAAATTTTTCAACTATTTTAGAATGTCAAAGTCTTCGTTTGATGAATTGTATAATATACTAAAGTCTCACATTAAACGGGAAGACACAATTATGAGGAGAAGTATCCAACCTGAAGAAAGACTAGCAGTAACATTGAGGTAAGAAAAATATATAGTAATTATTTAAATTTTTATTCATTAAAAATATTGGAAATTACATCATCGGACATTACAGAACATGATGAAAGGTCTTCAAATTGAGAATTTTGGTCATCAGCCATTGATGTAGAGGGGCCGGTTGCTGATCTAGAGGGACCAGGCACTGATGTAGAGGTAGAGGGGCCAGTATTATAACCCCATGGTCCACGATAATCATTAAACGATGAATATCCCCTGTCACCATAACTCGAAGGATATGTGTGATTTGTCATCCCTTTAAAGTATTTCACTACGTTAAGTATTTCGGTCTTAGCATCTAATTTATAATGCTCATTAATTTTTTTGAATTCGCCAACTAATGATAGTAAAAACAATTTATCTTCATCTTCATTATCAATGCGCGAATTCTGCGTTTTTTCATCTAAACGTTTGGATAATTTTTCAATTAAGACGTTCTCATCTGTGATTTTAGTAGTTAATTTTCTTTTGTTTCTTTCTCTGGGTATTTTATTTTGACCATTTTCGGTTTCTCCGGACGTAATTTCAGTGTGCTCACTCTCTTGTAAACTATTTGTTTTGTCGGGTCTATCTTCTATTATTGCCTTTAAAAAAGACATCTGCTGATAATATGCATATGGCCGAATGTTGAGGGCTGCTGAACCACTCTTTGGTTTAATTTTTTTAGCATATCTGGTGTATCCATCTCTTAATGTTTTCCATTTTTTCTGTATTAACATGGCTGTAACAACAAAAAAATATAAGTTAGTATAATTGATTGATTTATAAATATGTTTTACAGGTATTTGGCAACTGGATGTACATTTATGGATTTGCAATATAGTTTTAGAATAGCATCAACAACAATAGGTAAGATAGTGAGGGATGTTTGCAGAAATATATGGATACATATGAAGGATATGTGTATGGAACAACTAACTAAAGATAAGTGGAAAGACATAATAAATGGTTTCAAAAAAAATGCTCAGTTTCCGAACTGCCTCGGTGCCGTTGATGGCAAACATATTAGAATAATACAACCCGCGCAAAGTGGATCGTCATATTATAACTATAAAAATTATTTTTCGATAATACTTCTAGCAGTATGTGATAGTAATCATATGTTCACTTTCGTGGATATAGGCTCATATGGAAGGCACGCTGACTCGACTATTTTCGAAGAGAGTTGTCTATATAAAATGTTACAAGAAAAAAAGTTAAATATACCTCCACCTTCTGCAATATCACAAAATGGACCGTTATTACCGAATGTGTTTATTGGGGATGAAGCGTTTAGCTTGCAGGAAAATTTAATGCGTCCATATGGTGGCAAGAATTTACCAGAGAAAAAAAAAAATTTTAACTATCGGTTATCACGTGCGAGGCGATATATTGAATGCACGTTTGGCATATTAGCTAATAAATGGCGGATCTTTCATAGACCACTCAACGTCAACGTTGATTTCGCAGTGGATATAGTAAAATCATCGTGTGTTCTTCACAACTACGTAAAACAACGAGATGGAAATAAATTTGAGGATACGTTTGAGGGTCTTCCTTATTCTATAATACATTCAACCCAGCAAGTTCGTCCAGGTGGACCTATGTTAACAACAATCCGTGAAGAATTTGCTAATTACTTTGTGAGCGAAGAAGGCAAACTAGATTGGCAATGGAATATGATATAAATCAAAAGGGCGCCGTCCGTATAACATAGCCTCTGTATTCTTTTAAATATTAAAAATATAATAAGAAGCAAAACAACTATTATATTGTTACCAGTCTGTTTTTTAATAATAAATAAAATAATAAATGTGTGTGTTAAATGACTGACTTTTTTACTTACCGATTTGATTTTTTTCTTCAACTGGTTTTTCATCAAAGTTCTCAATTACTTGGGCACAAATAATTGCCCATGCATTGTTCTTCTTTATTTTGTCGCTGTGTTCCTTAAGTTTATAGTTCCAAATAAGTTCTTGCGTTTTAATTGCGCTAATAAGGGCATCACTATCGCACACGCCCTCCATGTTCAAAAAACAGCCGGCAAATGAGAAAACAGACGCCGCGAGGCCGCAAAGGGCGGGGGGGAGAGGGAAGTCGGAGAGCTGTCGACTGCTCTAGCGCAGTCAACGGCTCGAGCAGTCGGTGTATGCCTCGCAACCGCTCGCGAGCGGTCGACGGCACGATGGAATTTCATCATGCAGTTGACGGCTTGAAGCGGTCGCGACTGCTCGAGCAGTCGTGTGTACGGCAGCGAATGAATGACTATAGTTCACTGCGCGGTCGCGGCTTTAAGCAGTCGGTCTCAACTGCTTGAAGCAGTCCGTGTACGGCGGCCCTTAGAGCCACCCGGCACCCAACCAGCGCCGCATCGTCGTTTGTTGTCAACTCCGGGTGAACGATGAGTTGTTACTTAAGAACGTCACGACATCAACTAATGAACCTCGCGTGGCCAACGAGTGAATGTCGCTTGGGCCACAAATGTTCGAGTAATTAGAAAGCATTGGCACTAGGTCTACACGTGTTTCTCGTAATGTCAAATTTTAATTGGCACTCGTAGCTGTCGCGTTTATTGAAGAAGAAATTGAATGACGCAACAAAAAAAATAACTTATAGGGTGCACGGTCTCTAAGTCGACGGACAAACATAACTTCGTGGCTATCAAATTCGTTACCTTCAGCCCATTTTAAAGCAGTGTTTAAAGCTCCTACTGCCTCTGAATTACCAACTTTTGTGATTTCTAAAATTTCAACGCTATTGTCCTCATCTTGCTCATCGTCCTCACACATAGCCGTTCGCACAATCTCCTCATCAGTTAATACTTCATATCTTTGTAACTCGCTTTTGGCACCTCCAGCAGCCCATTCATGAGCTTCTGCCTCACTTATTTGAGGGTCATTGGGTCCCCTCAACCTGTTAAAAAGCTGGGCTAAAGGGACATCATCTTCTGGTTCGTCATTATCAGTGAAAAATTCAGGGTGCAAATTCTTCCATGATTTGTTAATTAGCGATGTCTTAACATTGGCCTAGCAATTAGCCAAAAGAAAAACTGTGTCCTTTAAAGCTATCGATTTTAATGAGTCCATGAGGTTTTCAGAACGTTCTGATCTATTGGTTGTATACACGCCGTGGTGTTAGGTGGCAGGAACATTGCAAAAATGTGGCCGTCTTCAGAGACAAGTTCATCTGCTGATGGATGCCCAGGACAATTATCCAACGATAACAGTGCCTGAGGAGGCAAATTAATAGACAAAAGATAGCGGCGGACCGCGGGAACGAATTCCGTTTTAAATCACTCAAGAAACAAGTCTTGCGTGTTGATTTAAATGCCCGTGGGTTTTTTGATTTTCCGACAACAAGCAATTGAAGTGTATGAGTTCCAGCCGCATTTGCACAAGGCATATAACAGAATGTCACTCTCATCTTCATAATTTTCCTTCCGGAAGCCGACGGCTCATTGCCAGAGGCTAATGTATGGTCTGGCAATAATCGCCAGTACAAATCAGATTCGTCAGCATTGTAAACCTGTTCCGCTGTTAAATTTTTTTCTCGAATAACTTTCTGTAACTAGTTGGAATGGTCCGATAGCGGCTTTATCATTTGACAGTTTTTCACCGTTCATTTTTAAACGTCTTATTCGGTGGCGTTTTTTAAACTTGTCTAACCATCCCCGGCTTGCATTAAATCCGATATTGGAGTTTGTAATCTGGCGATGAAAAATTCGAGCTTTCTCACAAATTATATCACCACTTACAGGAACATGCAATCGCCTTTGTTGCAAAAACCACGTAAACAAAGCATCTTCTAAAACAGGATTTTCCGATTGCTTCAGTGTTTTTCGTACACCGGCAGTGGCGTAGCTAGGTAACCAAGGGCCCTGGGGCAAATAAAAAAATGGGGCCCCACTGCTAAAACCTAATCAGTTAAAATAAAATAAAAATATGAAATACATATACAAATACTTTAAAAATACTAAGCTACCTCAACTCTTTTTTGTGTACTGAATGGCAGGTAATAAAAATATTAAACAGTAACAACATAAATTACAATTAATACTTGTAATTTTGGCTAATAAAACGAAATAGAGAAGATTCAAGGGTTTATTATATAAAGGTCGGGCCTACAAACTGACTAAATCATAATGTAAATAATTATATTTACAATTTTCTCCTAGCTTTAGTTTTCGCAAAAGTATCAATGACTTCGTTTAAATCCAGGCTTGATGCGGTTTTGTTTTCAATTGCTATTAGCGATAAATGTCGGAGTCGAGTTTGGCCCATATTATTTCTTAAATAATTTTTTATTATTTTTAATTTGCTAAATGACCTTTCAGCTGCTGCAGAAGTGACAGGAATTGTAAAGAATAATAACAGTGCTGTAAATACTTCCGTTAGGTCGCATTCTAGCACTCCATATTTGCTCATTATTTCCTTACATAATTGGTGAACAGTCCATGCTTGAGTTAGTTGAGATAAAACTAGGTGGTAAATATTAATAAATTGAAGTGAAAAACTAGGGCCTATTATATCTGAATATTTTCTTTGGAATTCGTCACACTTTTGTAATAAAGTTGCTTCATCAACATGTAATAAAAATGTTGGTGTTAAAAAATCGAATATATGACAGACTGCATTCATACCAATAAAACGTGTATCTAATTGAGATATTACTGTATCTAGTACATTATTGAAAATCTCAATCTTAAATTTTTTTTCTCGGTTTGGAAATCGGTGATCAGCAGCTAATTCATCAAAATGTTTTTTAACTTTTTTTTGCCTTTTTTCTTGAAAATGGGTATCAATACCATATTTTCTTGCAGTTTCACTGGCTTTGCACTTGAATAATTCGAAATCATTTCTATAAATTTGCAACTTTGCTTTGGTCTCTGCTAAAACTTTACGGCTTATGTTTAACTTACCACCAGGTATAGTAACATATAACAGACAAAAATAGTAAATGATTACCAAAATTAAACCCGCATTTTAATGTAAAATTACAACCTAAGTTTTAACATCTCGCTATCCTATTTAAGCAAAATGACTCCAAATAAATCATTGTTAACCCAAAAGTAGTAAATGATCGCCAAAATTAAAACAGCATTTTAATGTAAAATTATAACCAAAGTTTTTACATCTTGCTATCCTATTTAAGCAAACTGGCTCCAAAAAACTCATTGTTAGCCCAAAAATAGTTAATGAAAACCAAATTATTAACCATATTTTTAATTTAAAATGAAATGCAAAAAAAAAAATCTCGTTATCCGATTAAAGTAAATTACCCTCGGCAAAAAAAATATTTTGCCAAACACAGTAAAGTAAATTTACTCCTAACCTTTTTGTCTCCAAATTGATTAACCACTACAAAAAAATTATCTTGAGCGTTTCGTTTACAACCAAATGCTATACCTAAAATAAAAAATAAAACTCTTACAATTTCAATAATCCCTTTTTTAATTATTGAAACAATCATTAAAAAAGATAGTCCTCTTAAAACTAATAATAAACAGTTCAAAGATCTTAAAACTAAACTAATAATAAGCATTTAAAAAATCTTAAGAAGAATCAGTCTTCTGTATTAATTCACTGCACAATTAATGCTTTCTTAGCTTTGGCTGGTCGTCCTCTTTTGCGCTTCATGCCAATCGGAATAGCTCTGGCCTCTGAAGGTGGCTGGACGTGCTTAAGCCGAATGCCAATCCAACGAGATGCTTGCAAATGTAATCTTTGAGAAACTTTGGGCAATTGCATGTGCCGTGTAACCAATTTTCCTTTTCTCGGGGCATTATAACTTCCCACTCTCTAAAATGTTGCTCTTTGTATTCGTCAAAGGTCTCCCATGGCTTTTCATAATTTTTGCAATCTAAATCCGACCCAGCTGGAATTCTGTATGAGCAAACTAGTCAGTACTATTCTTTAATGGCACCTGCTTCGACAGTTTTGCCCATTGGTAACTTTCTGTCCACATCTTTAGAACTGTCGGCAGTTGAGCGAACGTCTCTCAGTATTATTAATCACGTATCATTAGACCAGTCCTTGACTATATCAGAAGCAATTACTAAGAACCGCGCCAAAGGATGACGCTCACGAAGCGTGCCACCATCTTTTATTGTTTTATTGAAAGATTCCAGAGCATTGTTTGTAGCAGGAGTCCCCAGAGATGCGCCCAAATACCAGAAACGATTTAGTATTAGCCATTCATTTTCAAAGTATGTAACAAAATCTTTTTCGGCTTTCCACTTGTCCAAAAATTTTTCGCTGGCTCGATCAAATATTTCCTGAGTTGAGGCACACTGTAAAGCATCAATATCTTGTAAGATCTCTTTTTGGGATTTTTTTGCACACTTTGCTCTACTCTTGTTTGCATCTTCTTTTTCGCATGCGCCCAGCACATTCTTATGACTGTATCTGTTCCAAATGTGCACGCAAAGGCAGTTTGTATAGCCTTCGCTGCATCACAGACCAAAACTTTACAACTTAAAGTGTATGAAAATATTGAGAAAACTGCTTTTTTTAATGCGGAAAATAAAAATATGAAGTCTTCCGTTCGTTCAGCTTTGTCACAGCTAATCCAATGGGTGAAAATGTTTATCTCTTTGTAGTTCCAATCACAAGTACTGGAAACCCTTGCCAAATGAGCTTATATGTGGCATCCGCGTGAAGAACAGAACATTGGCGTGATAGACCAATTAAATATTCGTCGTTAAATGAACCGGAAGTTCTGATCTAAATCATCTTCAGAAATTTCATACGCCAAAACAAAAACTTCGTGACCGTCATCAGGTATTTCAGAGTTTTCTTTTAACCATAATTCAAGCTGTCCCAAGCTTTACCGATGGCCCGTATTTTTCTTTACGTAGATTTTAAGATAATTGTTTAACTGTAACTTAGTCGGAGAACTAGTCCATTAATTTTACTTAAGTTCTTCATAGTTTAGGTTTCAAACGCAGTTCGAATAGTTTTCTATTTCCTTTTTCGTTGCCTCATTTATTCCCTAGTGACTGACAGTCAGAATTTTCAGGTCGTGACATGTTTCAGTACGAAATAATAATATATCATCACACGATGCGTCAAATAAAAGATAAATCGCGGCAGAACACTGAATTTCAGCCCGAAGCTTCACTTTGTTACAACGATAGTAACGTTTTACTCCTTCTTCAGTCGTATGAATTTTTGTATTGACCAGGTCTTCTATTTTTGATAAATTCCTCAGGCTCCGCACAGTTATAAATTTTCTTTCAAAACCCAAACTTTATTTTGCCTTCGACGTTTTTTCGTATGCTCTGTGATTTTATATTCGTCTTCATCTGATTCCGATGAAGTACTCAACAGGGAGCACACGAACTCGGTCCCGCTAAGTTTTCATTCGCCATTGCAAAGAAGATAGATACCAAAACACACCCAATAAAAGCAAGTGCTCGCACGCGACTAAATTGGCGATCGTGTCCGGGGTGCGCGGCGCTTGCGGTGTGGTGGGAGAGGATCGTAAGCCGCAGACATAACTTAATATGGCATCATAATGCTTCATTTGGTAATAAGCCTACATTTTATGTCAATCATAGGGTTTATTTAGGCAGAAATAGCGCATTAATTTGCTCGCTAAATTGTAATTTACTACATTTGGTTTCGAATACAATTTGAAGTGCAGTCGTGACTAAAATAGGTACTATTGTAATTTTAGACGTTATTTATCTGGTGTTAAGTATAATTTTGGTAAGAACTAAGGGTATCAAAGCATTTTATGGTGATCATTATATTTAACCCCAAACTTTACTCGCCTCGCCTAAATTGATATCGCCTTGCTGTGGTGGTGGGTCGAGAAAATACGGGGTTTGCTGGACCTGGACGATGTTTTGTCCGTAAGGCCTGGAGGGTGTCAGGGGTATCTGGTCATAGCACGTCGTTGGAAAACAAAAGACGAGCGGCACCGTTTGATGCGATTACGAGGTGCAACATGTTTGATTAGAGCAGCGGTAGATGGCGAGAAGGTTACAACACAGTTATTCTTAATCTTTTATGTCAAGAGTAGAGTGCTGTAAAAATAAAAATTCTGCCAGTCTTGAGTACTATTGCTTATATTAGATTTTTGGATTTATTGTGACAAATGCGGAGGAACGGTTTTTTTTCCGAACATTTTATCGAAACATGGACAAACACTTACAACAACATCAAAAAATCTCCAAACTGTATAACAGTTTGTTAGCGATCATAGCGCTCTGTTATTCAAACAATCGTGTGCATTTTACAATTACTTCTCACCCTTTTTGACCAATATGTTAGAGTTTTGTGTCTATATATATTTATAGAAATTTTTTAATTGGTTCCTGGATTCCCAGAACAATAATCTCGTCGCCTTTGTCAAGACTTACGTATATACGTGTATTGTTATCGTTACCTTATATATCGGCATTTGTTATACGATCTTTTCGTTTCAGCATCCACTGAACGCGAGCTTCTTCCGTACGCAGCTTCACCACAAACGGGCGAGGTCGATGTACCCCCGATTTTGGTGTAGTTGGTGAGCTCATCCTCTCAGCACTTTCTACGTCTGCTGGGTCTAATCTAAGCTTCACGGCAACTTCCTTGACTACTTCATATATGTTTTCTTAACCGCAGGCGCTCCACG